ACCATGGGTATAACAGCTTTTCTGAGTCCTAACAAATCATTGAGCCCGAGGATTGTCTTGGGGACTACAGCACAGTTGTGGTCATCAGTATATGTAAAGAATTGGACAGGGGCGCCTGGGTGGCTCAGTCAGTTGAGTGTCCGACTTCAGCTCAGGTCATGATCTCACAGTTCGTGAGTTCAAGCCCCGCGTCGGGCTCTGTGCTGACAGCTCAGAGCCTGGAGCCTGCTTCAGATTCTGTGTCTCCCTCTCTCTCTGCCCCATCCCCACTCATGCTCTGTCTCTCTCTGTCTTAAAAATAAATAAAATATTTAAAAAAAAAAAGAATTGGACATTCTTCCATTAGTAACAGCATTTAAATTCTAAATGGGGAAAATAGTAGTTTTATTAGGAGATAGTGTGTATGGTTTCTAAAAAGAACCCCAAACTACTGTTAAATGATATTCTTGCTTCCCTACCTCTACCCACGCATCACTATCCTAGAGTCTTAGTAAAGAGAATAATTTTAAAATAAAGTTAGGGGAAAATATTTGAAAATACAAATAGAGGTGTTAGGGGTGAGGTAGGTAGGAGTCACATAACTGTGTCTTGTTGCTGTGTGTGCCTTACAACAGATTCTTAGACACTTTGATTTAGGACCCCTTTATACCCTTAAATTATTGAAAACTGCAAAGAGGTTTTGTTTGCATGTTTTACTTTTGTAACTTAAAAAAATTAACAACTTGTTCTGCTTGTATCTACAGCCGTATACACTAATGTGAATGAATTCAGTAAAAAGAGTAGATTGAAAAGGTAACCAGCATGAGTAACATGGTATCTATGGAAAAATCTACTCCAGCTTCAGAATACCTGGCTTAAAATGAACTTTCGTAATGGACCCATTTCATGGGATTGTCTTATCCTGCATTCTTGGGAACTCGGCAGTGACCTAGGTTGTTCACCTAGAATTTTAAGATCTGGGTGAACCAACTCTTCTTTTGATAAGTTCATAATGCAGGAAAGTAGCATCCGAGCTAAATGAGTTGTAGGATGTATTTTGTGACTTTTTGTTGTGTTTTTGTGACACTTGCGCTTTCTGAAGAAGTAACCCATCAAATATTCTACGTGATATGCTCACAACCCACTTTGAATATTGTGTGCTTCCTAAAAAATTACCCATCTTTATGCATAATTACAGAATTTTGAAGTATGTTTATTAATGTCCCCCCCCCACAGGGATAAGTTATAATATTGGACTTCAGGAAAAAGGGAAACTATAAAATCCTTGTAGGATTTTTACCTTTGATAGCTGTATTTTTGTATACAATACATATGAACAGCCAAGGTACATTTTCTTAATTGGTAGTTATATTTATCTCTACATGCTGTGGACATTTTACTTTTCTCACTTTCCTCAAATATTAGCTTTTTTTTTTTTTAACAGCAGGGGAGGTCTTTATTTATGTGCAGATATCTAATATTTAACACAGTATCTGATACACAAGTACCAAGTGAACATTGAGTGAATAACTTTCAGTGTTAAAATACATGGCTCACTAGACTGTTGAGTTCGTTTTAAACATCTTTGTAACTATTTTAAGCATAGAACAATGGTAGGAAGGAAACAGTAAGAAAGCCCATTAGAAATCTCTAGGAATTGTTTTATTCCAAAAGAGTTGTTTAGAAAGTTTAAGAAACCAAGAAATTGAAATGTGTAGCATCACTGCTCCTATGAACTAGAGGTTGACAACATCCAGATCCTCCATTATCTTAGCAGAACTGCTTCTCGTACCTGTGATCTTTCCTCAGACACTTTGCTGGTTCTTAGGGTTGAGATTAATGATTTTTCTGGCACGGAGTACCCACTGTCAGCACAGTAGAATGATTGACTCTCTCACACTACCAGGGGCAGAACAGTCTTTGAGAAATCAGAAAAACACTACATATTGTAAAATTACTTCAAGATCTGGTAACATTTCAGTATCTGGCTCACATTTTGAGATACCTTTGTTAGGATTTTTAAAAGTTCAATGAAGAGATAAGATTGGTGACTTGAAGATGATTCAACTGAAAACGATATTGATAGTGTCGGAGAGGAGCCAGTAAGCTTACAAAATTTTGTGCCAGCCTGAAATTTACAGGAGTTTTTGAAACGGGTATGAACAAATACCTCACTGGAGAGCAAAGAAAGGGAAGTTCGTTTTCACAGGCCCATGAGGAGATGGCAGCTAACGGGACAAGCACTTACTAAATGTCTACCAGGCTACGGACTCGCTTGTCTTAATCTTCTCAGCAATGAGAAGTGAGAAATTGGAGAGGTTGTGAACAATGCCATGTTTGGGTTAAGGTAAAGATTGTAAAAAATCTGTAGGTTTAGCTCTGGGAATTAGTAAAGAAAAATGAGCAAAAGAGGTGAGGAGTGAGGTTTTATATTACTATTGCTGTGACTGAGGAAATCTGGGCTTTGGCAAGCTAGATTGTTAGCAATTTGTTAGCAGCTGAAGAACTTGAGTGCTGAGTTGGCAGAAAACAGTGTTAGTGACCAGAGGAGAAAACCTGCTTCTGAAGATACTGGGGATGTCAGAAGGTGGAATCTCGGGGCGTCTGGGTGGCTCAGTCAGTTGGGCGTCTGACTTCGGCCCAGGTCATGATCTCACAGTCCGTGAGCTCAAGCCCCGCATCGGGCTCTATGCTGACAGCTCAGAGCCTGGAGCCCGTTTCAGATTCTGTGTCTCCCTCTCTCTCTGACCCTCCCCCGTTCATGCTCTGTCTCTGTCTCAAAAATAAATAAAAATGTAAAAAAAAAAAGGGGAATCTCTGATTTTGGAAGTGTCCTTTTGAGCCCTTCACTCACAATCAGGAAACTTAACCCCAGAGCTGTCACACACTGTTTTGTGTTCACTTGCTCTCAGGCGAATACAGCTTCCCCTTCAGGACAAATTAACATGTTTGCAACGGGCAGCTGAAGCAAAGTGAACTGGAAGCGCTCGTGAGAAGAATGAACAGCCTCCAACATGGAAGACTTAGCCGAGGCAAAAACCGGAATCCGGAGCTGGGCACCCCCCACGTGGTAGTCAGGAGACCTTGGCCAGGCAAGAGTCGGGGAGTGCCTGCAGCTCTGAGGGGCAGAACTGAGAGATCAGAACTAGCAAGGTTAGGTCTGTCAAGCATCCTCACTACAAGTTCAGAGCAGAGTGACTGCTCCAGCAGGAAGGGTTACTGACCCACCCCCTTGCTTCTGAGAGGATCAGAACGGACAGAAGGATGATAATTGGGGTGCACTTAGTGACAATGCCCGTGTGGCAATCAACTTAAGAGCGATTTAAGTCAATTTGAACAAATCCTAACCAAGAGTGACCTGTGCCCCTTCAGATTATGTGTTTGTATATGAGTCAAAAGGGCCACAAATGTCTCTCGAGGATGGGCTTGCTTTTTGGTCACTGTGATTACTGCAATGACACCAAAAATAGATCAGTCTGATTATGGGTACTAGAATCCAACACAGCAATGAAAGTTTGGGTCCTTTCCCTCCCCTAAGTTCTTAGCATACTCAGCTTTATCCTTTTTTTTTTTTTTTTTTTTTTTTTTTTATGTTTTTTGTTTTGTTTTTAATGTTTTTACTTTTGAGAGCATGTGAGTGCGGAAAGGGAAGAGAAAGAGGGAGACACAGAATCGGAAGCAGGCTCCAGGCTCTGAGCTGTCAGCACAGACCCTGATGCAGGGCTTGAACTCACAAGCTCTCAGATCATGATCTGAGCTGAAGTCAGAGGCATAAAGGACTGAGCCACCCAGGCGCCCCTTAGCTTCATCCTTAAATCAACTGACATGGGAGGGAAGGGGAAAGGAGGTTCAAGGGGAGGGCACTAAAGGGCAGAGACACCCAATGTCACTAAGCAAGACTTTTTAAGTTCCAAGCAGCTACCTGCTTAGGCTGAATAAATGAACTTCTAAATTTCTGCTCAAAGTTCTGTATCTTCATTGCTGACAACATATATTTGAGTTTGGGGCAGTCTGCAACTCAGCAACCACTGCCATACTGCCTTTCGGTTGGGGACCTTGGGCTTGCTGCCCCACTGTCATAATATTCCTTCCTCATTCTTGCACTGGACCAATGGCAAAATGTCATGAAATTAAGAGTATGTTTAACTCGTGGCTCAGCTTCAAAAGAGAAAAGAAAATGTACATACACGTGCCGTGTCAATTTATACCAGATTTAACATTGGGTTACCGATTGTATTTTGCCCCTGTATGTGGATTCTAACCTCACTTGTTCACATTTTGAACATACCACTTTACGACTAAGAAGTAATCCCCTTTAAAATAAGGTGTAAGTTAGAATCCGAATTCAACTTCTCTACACTACATCTGCACACAGGGAGTTTGTCTTATACCTCTCCACAGCTTAGTATTTGAACACGACAATACCTACTGTCCTCTGCATGAAAGCATTGGAACTGAGGTCTAGGGATGTTCTATCCGCCCTCCACTTCCTCACACTTGCTGTAACTCAGGGCACAGTAACTATTTTGCCCTGCCACCTGTCACATTTAGGAGGGGCAGAGGAGCGCGGCCGTGGGACTGTCAGCTTCGCCTGCTATGCTGACCTCCAGCACTTGACCTTTCAAAGACCGCTGGAGAAAGACGCCGAAAGCTTCTTCCGGGATCTTCCAGGGCCGGGTACTTGGTCGTAGCAAGACCGAGTCGCAATTCCTAGTGGCTTGCAAGTTTCCAGCGGGGAGGACAAATCTAACTGAACACTGAGGCCACCTCTCTGACCCTTTGGAAAATGGCCGGAGGTTAGGAAACGCATCACCGCGGCCCGCCGAGCCCAGAGGACTCGCCTCACAAACGGGAGCCCTCGCAAACAGGCGGGCCGCGCACGGGGCCAGGATTGGAAGACCCGCCGGGTGCCCTCTCCCGGCCCCAGGCGGCGCGGCAGGGCTGTGGGAGACTGCGCGTGCGCGCTGCGCGGCCGGTTCCCGAGACGACGTCCCCAGCCGCCTCCCGTCTCCCGCGACAGCATGAAGACCGCCGAGGACGCCAGAGGAGTACATGGCGAGGGGCCGCGGAAGCTAGGCCTCTGCCTCCTCTGCGGCCTGCCCGCGGCAGGAAAATCGACCTTCGCGCGGGCCCTAAGCCCCCGGTTACGGCAGGAGCGGGGCTGGGCCGTCGCCGTGGTCGCCTATGATGACGTCATGCCGGACGCGTTCCTCGAGGAGGCGAGCGCGCGGCCGTTGGTGAGTACGGAGGGGGCGGGGCCTAGCCTGTGGTCGCAGAAGGACATAGAGGGGTTCCACCTAAATGCTGGACTGCCCCTTGTGTGGGAGGTGCGGCCCTGACGGAGCGGGGGAGACTGGAGTTCGAGAGAAGTGGAGTTGGTTTAACGTAGAATGTGTCGACTCCGTCTTAGAAGGATTCGTCGCAGAGATTTATGTGTATATTTGGGGCCTGTACGGTTTGTGTATTGCATACAGTGAGTCTTAAGACGGCGTTAGGTTTTGTCGGCGTGCAGGATGGTACCCTTCCGCTCCCCCACGCCCACCCCCATAGACAAGTATGCTTTTGAAAAGTCCTTTAGGAAGATCGTACTTAGGAGAGGGACAGAATCTCTTAAAAACCACAGCCAGTTTAACGTCCAGCCACCGGTGAATCCTTGTGGGTCTTCAAGTTTACACAGTTGGGGAGTTTTTTTTTTTTTTTTTTAAGATAAAGGATACAAAATTATGAATAACAAAATTAGTAGGTTCCCTCCCATGACAATAGAAAGCTGTACAAATGAAGGGGCTGGTGTCTGAAGCTCTCTCTTCACTCATTTCCGGGTAAATCTGCCTCTGCCAGCATTAGGAAAAGACGGCTGTTTCTCAGGTGACCACCAGATGAAGTAATGGGCTTGTGTTTAGGCACCTACTTACATATAGGTACTTATAGATTCTCTTTAAGCCTTCAAATCACACTCTGTGCAGCGAGATGCATCCCCTTGGAGAAGCACAAGAAAAGCGCGACCTCTGGGGAAGAGTGGATTCATATCTCCCATCTCGTTCTCCCCCTAGACTAAATACTCTTTGACAGATTCTGAAAAATTGAGATAGATTTGTCGTTCAGTACCTGTGTGTAGGTGGAGGCATCTAAATAAAATACGAATATGATGTGATTCCACTCTCTCTATATATAAAATTATAGTACGTTCGGTGGCTGGCAACTGTATGTATTCTGTCCCGTTCTTGTTCTAATTGTGAGATGACTACAGTATCAAGTCCCTGGTAGCACTAGATTTAGTTGGATGATAGTATTTTCGCCACTTGAGTGAAAGCTGAAAGTTGGTGAGATGTATGGTTGTATTTACTGGGCCATTTCCTCACTTTTATTGTTACAGTTTTTCCACTCCTCCCTGTAGACGGAGACTGTGGGACTCAACTAGTCACCATGAGTAGGAAATCTCACCTTTTAGGAAGTGATCGTGTTTTCCTTCTCCGTAGGTTTAGCTGATGTATTTGTTGTATGTGCTATAATGTCAGTGATGTGGTAAGGCATGGACAGGCAGGAGAGGGACCCTTATCTCCTGTTCCTATGTTTTCTCTCCAGACTGGACCTGCTCGCCACAGTCCTTGAATGGCACAAGATTACCTATGTTCTCAAGTTACTTATTCTTTTCCCTTCAGTCTAGCTTTCCCCATCCCATTCCAACTCTGTTGTGAGCCTCAAGGCTTTTCACCCTGACCCAGGCGCCTTTCGGCAGATCTTTTCTGTCCACAGCTTTTCTCATCTCAAGGGCAAACCAGCGTTGCTTTGTCTAAGCCAATTTTATATTGTCAGGATATTGATTTTGGCTCATTTCTCTTGGATGGTAACAGCTTTTCATTCTTCCATTTATTTACTCATTCAGTCATTTTCTGTACTGGAGCACCTCTTACGTGCCTGACCGTCTGCTGGAGGCCAGTTAGACCATGGACTATTGATTGAGCAGAGAGTTAGAGATGTGCAAATGCCTAAATAGCGTAAGCCCCGTTAGGGTGGAGACCCCATCTGTGCAAAGCAGGATGTCATGTAGGCAAGGGAGGGTCTGAGCTGCCTCCTGCGTGGATGTGTCCGTGGAGACTTCAGAGGACTATCCTCAGGGAGTAGGAGTTTCTGGGCAGAGGAAACAGGATATCGGAAGATATAGGAGGCAAGGTGAAGCAAGTTGTGCTCAGAGAATTCCACACGGTTTGGCTCTGTGAGCTGAGATGTTCACGTGGGGTGGAAGGCGATAAGCGGGAGCACCCTATTGAGCAAAGCCCAATATAAATTGTGATTTTCCCTCTTTTGTAGCCATCCCAATGGAAGTTGCTTCGACAGGAACTGTTGAAGTACCTAGAATACTTCTTGTTGGCTGTCATTAACGGGTGTCAGATGTCTACCCCACCCAACAGGACTGAAGCCATGTGGGAGGATTTTATAACCTGCTTAAAGGATCAAGATCTGATATCTTCTGCTGCACCGGAGGCCCGGTCTTGCTATCTCTTAACGAAGACTGCTGTTTCTAGACCTTTGTTTTTGATTTTAGATGACAACTTTTATTATCAAAGTATGAGATACGAAGTCTACCAACTGGCTCGGAAATGTAATTAAAACATTTTTTTTTCTTACACACAGACACTTGTTTGCATATCAAAATCACGACTGCTTTTAGTGAGAATTGAATTGGATCAGGAAGTTAGTATAGATTTACTTAATTTTCAAAGCTAGATGTTCAGTATTTTCCTGCCACAGCTGTGATAATTTGCCTGATTTGTTTATTTTGCATTTTGGAAAAAATAGTGCACCACTGAGTTCATGGTTTCACATTGCTTTCAGATTCATTAGGCTTTTGCCAGCTTTTTTTAGATTGTTCTCTGGAGACCTGTTTACAGAGGAATGGCCAGAGACCCCAGGCGCTGCCTGCCGAGACCATCCACCTGATGGGAAGAAAGCTGGAAAAGCCCAACCCCGAGAAAAATGCTTGGGAACACAACAGCCTCACAATTGAGAGTTCAGAATGTTCTTCTGAAGCCAGGTATCCTACGCAAAGCTGACCTTAGCTGGGTGCCTCCCTGAGGGAGCACCGTGCCCTTGGCTTTACCCAGGTCCACTCGGTTAACCTTTACACAAACATGGAGATTGCCCTCTCTCCTCTCTAGAGAAGAGGCAACTGAGTGAGAAAGTTAGTTTGCCCAGAGTCCCCGAGCTCGTGGTAGCTCAGATGTGAACCCAAGTTTGCTGGCGCACATGTGCTCTTGTTAAGACTATGTTCTCCCAGGGGCGCCTGGGTGGCTCAGTCTGGTTAAGCATCTGACCCTTGGTTTCAGGATCTCACAGCTTGGGAGTTCCAGCCCCAACATCAGGCTCTGTGCTGACAGTGCAGAGCCTGCTTGAGATTCTCTCTCTCTCTCTCTCTCTCTCTCTCTCTCTCTCTCCCAAGATACATAAATAAACTTTAAAAAAAAAAAAAAAAAAACTATGTTCTCCCAGAGATCAGAGCAGGGAATGCAGAGTTGGACACATCTTTGAAACTCTTGCCACAGTAGCACAGTCTAAATAGGTTGCCCAGTAATTTTCTCACAGAAAGAAAGAGAGTGGAAGTGGTCTGGAGTCCTAATTTTGCCTCAGACCCCCCTGCAGTTACACCACCGCGTATATGTGATGCCTGTGGGCTGCGGTGCTAATGCTTTCGTTTGTGATAGATGTCTTGAGAGTTCTACAGCCGCACATTTCGAATGGAATTTTCGCAGATGATGGAAATGTACTACATTTGTACTGTCCAGTGTAGTAGCTGCTGGCCACATGTGACTCTTGAGCACTTGAAATATAGCCGGTGCATCTGGCGGCCTGAATTTTAAATTTTATTTTAATTACTGTAAACTTAAATAGCCTCATGTGGCTAGTGGCTATTTTCTCAGACAGCACAGTTCTAGGGCTATTTTGCCCTCATTTTCTTAGCTCCTGCCTAACTGTTGTCCACAGGGGACCAGCAGTTTTTAAATGGCTAATTTTTAAAATTCACTTTGTTTTCACTTATCCACTTGTCACTGTCTGAAATTATACATTTTTGCTGATTTAATCATCTGTCTCCTAATGGACATGATGTAACCACTGCTGGACTTAGAAAGTGTAGGGATCTTGCCGTACCCCAACTTATAGCACACAGTTTCACATACATAGTAGTAAATGAATGGATTCTACCTGAACCCTCCATGGCCCCTTGACCAGCGAGGAACTTTGCTAATCCCCATCCAGTAAATAAGAAGCCAGAAAGAAGTCCCTTCTTGAGGAAATAAAGTAGAGTTCTAGTAGCACTTAATGAGGGAAAAGAGAGAATTTCTTTTCAAAGCTTATTGAAATGAGTCTTAGAAAATTAGTATTTTTTTAAATAAGGGGATTCTTGGGGCGCCTGGGTGGCGCAGTCGGTTGAGCGTCCGACTTCAGCCAGGTCACGATCTCGCGGTCCGTGAGTTCGAGCCCCGCGTCAGGCTCTGGGCTGATGGCTCAGAGCCTGGAGCCTGTTTCCGATTCTGTGTCTCCCTCTCTCTCTGCCCCTCCCCCGTTCATGCTCTGTCTCTCTCTGTCCCAAAAATAAATAAATAAAAACGTTGAAAAAAAAAATTTAAATAAGGGGATTCTTTTGCCTTATAATTTGTTTTCAGCTTCTCCATTTGGATTTTGTAAGTAGAAGGTAGCTTCCAAATCTTTTCAATTTTTACCCCTTTGGCTTAGGATCCTTTGGATTATAGCATGTTTATTCCTCTAGAATTCAATTCAGTATTCATAAACACAGGTTCTTTTTAAAAAAGATGTTTGATAGAAGGATTCATTTTATCTCACCTTCTCTTCTAGCCTGAAGTTGACTGATTTATTGCTTACTGCTTTGGAAAATCCAGTAAAATACATTGAGGACAATGTGGAACAAAAGGTAAATCTTCCAATATAGATGTGGTATAAATGGCAAGGTACAACTGTTTGAAGGAAGGTCTTTCTGAGCTGAATGTAAAAAAAAATATGAGTAAAATGTGAAAAATGCCTTTGTCACCGCCTTGGCATCTCAGCAGCACTCTACTTATGACAACTGGCTGCAGTGGCATCCTGGTGGCCACGTGCAGCAGCTGGTCAAAGCCGACTGTCACATTTTCCGAAATATTAGAGCCTGTTAACATATGTTGGTGTTGGTAGCTTGAGACGGACAAGGACAGGAGCACTTGCACCGCACATAGTGACAAACGCTGTAGATGGAGAGCCCATTATTGGACAGATTGTCAGCCCCCATCATCTAGATGGGATCTCGGGAGGGACAGCTGGAACAGAAAAGCCACCGTAACTTTCCTTGTAGTCTCATCAGAAACACATCACAGTTTAGCCACCTCTTTTATAAAACTACCTAACTTCCAGTAACGATGTCTGTGTTGCATAGGAAGCAGACAGAATCATTTGTTCAACCAACCTTCTTCATCAAGCCGATCAGATGCTCCGAAGGATTGTCTCTCAGACGATGAAGGAAGCAAAAGGTATGTTGAGCAGTTGTGTGGGGTTTAGTTGATACAACTCTCCCGCTGTTCTTGTTCCCTTGGGTAGTTGGTTAGCTTTCTGTCACAACGTTGACAGCGTTTTTAGTTTCACCATGCAACTGGATTATAGAAAACTAAAAATTCTACCCCCAGAACAGGGTATTCATCCATCCAATACATTTTTATTGAGTGGCTACTCTGTACTAGGCTTTATTCTAGATACTGGGGTGTCAGCAGGGAGCAGAACATTACTTTGACGAGACAGACAGATAAATACATGAGTCTCTGCTGGTGCCCTGAAGAAAAATAAAGTAGGGTAAGGCAGTGGAGGGTGATGGGAGAGCTTCTTTTAAAAACTGTTTTTTAATGTTTTTTTGTTTTGTTTTTATTTTTGAGACAGAGAGAGACAGAGCATGAGCTGGGGAGGGGGAGAGAGAGGGAGACACAGAATCTGAAGCAGGCTCCAGGCTCCGAGCTGTCAGCACAGAGCCCAACGTGGGGCTCGAACTCACAAACCGCGAGATCATGACCTGAGCTGAAGTTGGATGCTCAACCGACTGAGCCACCCAGGCACCCAGGAGAGCTTCTTTTAAAGGGTAATCAGGAAGGCTTCTCAGAGGTGATATTTAAGCAGAGATATGAATAACGGAAAGAGTCAGCATGCAGATATCTGGAGATAGATCATTCCACGCAGTGGACACAGGTGCAGAAACCCCGAGGTGAAGTTATTTGGTAGGTCTTAGAGCAGAAAAGAGGCCACTGAATCGGGTGAAATAAGGAATGGGGAGAGGTGGTCAGGGGCCACATGTGCAGTCAGCAAGCTCAGTGGATTGTCAGTCTGAACTTAGATGGCATGTGTGGTCGTTTTATAAAAGAACTCCTTTAGGGGTGCCTGGGTGGCTCGGTTGATTAAGCGTCCAACTCTTGATTTTGGCTCGGGTCATGATCTCATGATTCATGGGATCAAGACGCGTGTCAGGCTCTGTGATGACGGTGCAAAGCCTGCTTGGGATTCTCTTTCCCTCTCTCTCTGTTCTTCCCCTCTCTCGTTCTGTGTCTCAAAATAAATGAATATTAAAAAAAATTACTCCTTTCGCTTTTAAATATTGAACTCTACACTATATTTAAAATCTGACTTAAATAATAGCCTACCGTTTCTTTAGCTTTTACATGCTAAGTGCCTTATACATACTGTTTCCAGTCTTGACAGCCTCATGAGGTAGGTGTAATTTTATAAATGGGGAAATGAAGGTTCTGAGAGGATCAAGTAACTTACCCAAGGCTGAACAGCTACTAGATACGTGGACAACCTGGGTTCAGAGTCAAGTCTGACTCTAGTTTATGTTTTCTGTTATGCTCCCTGCATCATCGGCATCTATTATTAACACCTTTACAACAGTTTCTTGGAAAAAGAAACAATACACTAACCATATGGTGTGTTTCATACTTTTTTTTTTTTTAACCACGATCCAGAAGCAGATTTTATCTTGTACCCGAGACTGTAGCTCAGTACACGAACACACACGTGCATAGCAACAAGTTTCACAGAACCCTCACGTTTGGTGAGCTCTTCTATGATCTTTTTGATTCCATTTTAGATAAACACAGCTTGCAACCTGCATCTCACTTGTAGGTTATAATCCAGAGTTTGAAAAACACGGGCCTGGAACAGAAACAGCAGCATAATTAGAATAAAAACAAAAATAGTTGGAAATAGTTGCAGGAGCTGGGGCTCAATCATTTGCCTGCCTTGTCTTCTGTATGAAATGAAGAGAAGGGGAGGAGATAGGATTACGCTCAAATCACTCTTGACTTATTTCCCACCCATTAAAAAAAAACTTTTTTTTTTTTTTTGTGAGGGAGGTGGTCATAGCATCTAGATCTATGCTTAAATGAAATTAGAAATTCATTTCTCCTACCACCAAGAAAATGAAAAGACAACCCACAGATCAGGAGAAGATCCTTGCAAATCATCTATCTCATAAGGGACTTGCATCCAAAACAGATAAAGGACTCTTACCACTCAATTAATAAAGATAACCCGGTTTTAAAAACGGGCAAAGGATCTGAATAGACATTTCCCCAGGGAAGATACACAAGTGGCCCACAACCACAAGAAGACACACTTGACATCATTAGTCATCAGGGAGACGCAAACCAAAACCACGAGCGGCCACTGCACCCACTCACTAGGCCAGCCAGAATCAGAAAGTCCAAGAGGCAGTGAGCACGTGGGGAAATCCGAACCCTCGTCCGCTGCTGGTGGGAATGGGAAGCAGTGCAGCTGCTTTGGCAAACCACCGAGCACTTTCTGCAGCGAGTAAGTGTAGTCACCACGGGACCCAGCGATTGCACTGCCAAGAAAGAGAAGTGAAAACGTATGTTCACATAAAAATGTGAACACAAATGTTTGCGTCAGCATTATTCATCGGAGCCAGGATGAGCCTTGAAAATGTTAGACTAAGTGAAAGAAGCCATCACAGAAGTCCGCATGTTGCTTGAGTTCAGTCATGTGAGAGATCCAGAAGGGAGAAATCTAGAGGCACAGAACCCAACGTGGGACTCTGTCTCCTGAACCTCGAGATCATGACCTGAGCTGAGACCAGGAGTCAGACACTCAACCGACTGAGCCACCCAGGTGCCCCCTGAGTTGGAGTCTAAATTAATAAAGGGTATATAGTATGCAAATTTATTTCAATAAAGCTGTTTAATATAAAAATCTAGTTCCTCAGTCACATTACCCACGTGGCTAGTGGCTGCTGTATTGAAGAGAGCAGATCCGGGACATTTCCATCATTGTAGGAAGTTCTATGTTGGACATCTGCTCTAGAGACTATTTACAACAGTTTCAACCACACTGTCATTTCCTATTCCTGCTTTTTTTGCCTTACTACCTGTTAGCTCAAGAACATTCTAAACCAACCATCTTGTCAACAACAACAAAAAAATCCCCTTCAGGCTTATCTTTTCTGCTCATGCATCTCATACCAAGTTATTTAAAAGATTTGTTATCACGTCAGTGTGACCTTTTGTCTACATAGTACACCAGCTCAACTGTGAGTAATAAAATCTGATCAGTTTGTCAGAAGTATTCAAATTAATTTCCTATGTTGTTAGACAGCCTGGCCTGATTTAGTTTATACAAATAATTTGAGAATGTCTTTTCATTTTAGAGGAACGAGTGCTTCCTTTCAACTTGAAGCTTCTAGCAGAAGAACTCAACAAGCTCAAAGCAGAGTTTTTGGAAGACCTAAGACAAGGAAACAAAAAGTACCTGTGCTTTCCAGAAACCACCAATGTATCAGATGCTATTGCTTTTTTTCATCATGAGAAAGATAATATTGTCCAGAAATATTTTTCAAAGCATTAAAACTTTTGAACTTACAATCAAATATCCGATTTTGGTTGAGTTTGCAAAATAAAACCATTTTGCATTACTGGATATTTTCTTTTTAAAAATTTTTTTTTTTCAACGTTTATTTATTTTTGGGACAGAGAGAGACAGAGCATGAACGGGCGAGGGGCAGAGAGAGAGGGAGACACAGAATTGGAAACAGGCTCCAGGCTCTGAGCCATCAGCCCAGAGCCCGACGCGGGGCTCGAACTCACGGACCGTGAGATCGTGACCTGGCTGAAGTCGGACGCTTAACCGACTGCGCCACCCAGGCGTCCCTACTGGATATTTTCTAGGCCAGTGGTGTGAATTGCCAGACTTGTTTAAAAAAAAAAAAAAAGTCCATTCTAAAGATCCATTTGTCATAACAGAAACTACTTCAGTTGGTGGCTTGTCAGATGTGACGTGGACAATTGAGTATCGGCAGCAGGCTTCCTCATTTACATGCCAGAACCCTTAGGGTAGGGCTGGTGGGGACAGGAGTCTTCGTCAATAAGGCAGAGAAGGAAGAAGACAAGACGTGGATACATGGAGCTGTTTTTGTTTTTAACTCGTGTGACAGATCTTCTCATGGGTAAGGCATTCTACAAATTCAAACCAATGTAGCCATAAACCCCCCCGCCCTTTTTTTTAATTAACAGTTTACATACGGGAAAATTACTAAAAACCTAACTGGACCCTAGTTTTCAAAGAAGAAAAATCGAGATCAATAGAAGTGTTATTTTTTTTATTCATGTATTACAAAAGCAAAGCTTAATTCACAATATGAACTACAGACTAGATATGGTTATTTCAGCATCAAACTGCTCTCTGGAATCCCTAAACAATGTAGTGTTTTGCAACCATACTCAGGTTTTATGTTTTGCATATAAAATATGTTCTTTACATCAAAGTACATATGAACAAAAACAAGTTGTAGAAATCATAATCCCTCTAATAAGATTATTTAATGAAAAAGTCCTTAGCAGGGAATTTCTTTAAAAATAATACATCCACTTGATAAATATCTTTGTAAAACTTAAAATGAAGTTTATCTCAACATTTTTAAAGGAATATCCCCTTTGTCAAACAATTCTGCAGATAAATGGCAAACACTTATTTCTAAAATGAAATAGCAGTGGCAAATATTCAAAGTAAAAGTCTAGCCTTTACTTGAATTTCAAGAAGTTGTAGCTACATACTAGATTAGTAAAATCTGAAACGAAATTATTCCCTGTTAATCTCTTCACAGTTTCTTAAAAAAATATTAGTGGAGATAAATTATCTATGAACTTTAAAAATCTAAACTTATGTTCACTGAACAAAAATAATTTTAGTTTCAGAGCACTGCCTGTTCACAGCAAAGTACTATAAATAGTTCACGTTCAACTTTTCCTAGCAGCTCATTTCTATAAAATATTTGATTAAAAATAAAATGGGAGAAACATATTCAACACTTAATGGAAGATAGTATCATCTTTCCATGTATAAAATTTAACTCACAGAAAATTTAAATAAAATCCTAAATCTTTTTAAAAAATACAATACTAAAAAAGTTTCTAAGGTAGATTTGATTCAAAAACTTTAGTGCATTTAGAATTAATTGTAGCGCTCAAGCACTGACGCCTTTGGAACACGGACTGTGCTCTTTTAAGTCCTAGGAAAATTAGATTTCTAATTCTAGTTTACAATTATGAAAAAAAAAAAGATATTCTCTGTTTAAATTAAAATGTACCTTCAAAACATCTATCTTTAGTTGTCAGAAAAAAGTGTTTGTCACTATTGGGCCCAGAATATAGAGTTAATAAACTGGTTTTAATGAGAGAGTCCTTCCTCTTTCTTTAATGAAATCTCTCATTTTCTATCTCAGAGTATTGCTTTCGTTTGAATTGCAAAAGCTTCCAAATGATGGCAACCTGTTTCTCCTGGCAATAAAAAAATACTAGAGCCAAGTCAGATTTGGAAATGGTTGCAGGAACGTGGATCTGAGCGGTGAGTGAGTGAAGCTACAAGAGAAATACAATCGTAGATGGCACAAGCCTCAGATCTGACAAGGAAGAGAGTTATTGACAGTTTGGACAGACTCCTTGCTGCTCTCTCAACAGTGCTGCTGAGATTAGTTTCAATTGGACATTAAACCACAAGAACGCCTTTTACTGGCTTTCTAGCATTTGGAAGGGAGGGCAGAAGATTCATTAAGTTGGCACTTGGGGGTTCTGGGGACATTCACTGTCTGTGTTTCCCTTTTAGTTACTATAGATGAGCTGAGGTCTTTTTTGCTTATTAAATGCTCAGTAGTTAGGATATTCTTAAGAAGCCAATTAGTAACACTTTGTAAGATCTGAACCAAATTAAAAAATCAAACTTTTGCAAAGTACACAGAAACCAGCAGTTAGTAACAATATATTTTATTGTTTGACCAAGCCCTCTTCAGAGTAAGCTAGTTATTACACAATATAAAAACAATAGCCTCCTATTCAAAATTATTCTAGATTTAGCAAGTCTTATTTTTGTAAACAAATCAAATACCACATTTAACTGCATCTTCTATTCTCCTACTTTTTGTACCCTTTCCTACTAAGGCGGCGATTCAGTCTCCGTATAGTTTTGTCACTGTACACGAAAAACTGGCAGGACCTGCAAGTAAGCATTACAACTTGAATTCACAGCAGATCTTTTAAATGGCCAATTCTGAAGGAAAAACCAGAATTTGCTCTGCACACACGTTCTCATTTTTTTTAAGTATTACTTCACCACCACATTTTCCCATGTGTTACTATACCACCTCTTCTCAGAAATTATGGACGATGAATGGACAGAGGGCAGGAAATGGACATTTCAGAGATTCTGTGTGTGTGTGTGTGCGCGCGCGCGTGTACATGTGTGTAAAGGACTGCATTTCCGAGGAGTGAGATGGATGAATTCCACTGTACCTCTTTGGTCATCAAAGGAATAGAAGGAATAACAGAGTCTCAGTATACTTATCAACCTCGCCTGACAATAATGATGTCAGAATGGAGAATTTAAATGAAAGGTTCAAATTAAAAGAAACAAAAAGGCATCTTTACAGATAATCCTCTTATATTTCTAGCACTCTCCTGTATTTACCTGTGGCTTTTACAATAAACCAGCATAAAAAGATAGGTGTTTAAACTGGAAATGGAATAAACAGGTATTTTAAATATTAAGCCCATTTTCAATTTAAGTTTCATTTCTTTTCAGAACTTTTACCTCATGTTTTTATAGCTTTAATTTGAAAGGAATGCACTATTACATTTCCCCTTATGGAAAACAAAATCTACACAAAGTAGTTCTGTGATTATCAGTTGAAACGAAAGCGCGGCTTCAACTTCAGCAATGTGAACTAAACAGCATGTCAGTTAAGAGTGTTGTTAAAGGCAATTCCTCTCTGAAAACACTGAATAAGCTGTTAATAGACTTTGGAAGAGGCGGTAATTTTACCATGCTGATTCATGGCAGAAATTACCTAGCTGCAATGTGTATGTTGAAATACCAAGAGTAGCAATAAGCTTTGAAGATTTTATGGACCATAAATATGGGAAATTTAAATGAATACCTGTTAGGATTATGACTGCACTCCAATTCTCAAATGTCTAAATGAAACGAGAAAATAGACCCCAATGTGTCTAACTGTTCTAATACATAAGTGACCCTCACCAGATTTTTATGGGGAGAAGAAAAAAAAAGAAAGTTTTGTTTCCACTGTCAAACTTACATTCTATAAATATGTAGATAGACTTTAAATTAGCAGACATCTTATTAGGAATGACCCCACCCCCAGAAAAACAAAAACAATAAACAAAACTGTAAAACACAAAGGTAAAACCAAGGAAAGCATAATGTGATTATTTTCAATCAGTGTTGGTTATGTTGTCCCCTTGCAAAATGACAGGCAAAATCATACTTGTTTTTACATTTGCAGCCACATATGTTACACTGGAAAGGATTTTCATACCCATGACATCCCATATGAATAGTGTAAAGGATGTTGTCGGCGAAGTACATATCACAGTGCTGGCAGTGGTGCAGGAGCTGAGGGTCCTGGACCGGCAGCGTGGGAGCCGGAGTGCTCGGCTGGCTGTTCCCTAGGCTGGGGGTACTAGTGTGGGCACTCGGTTCGCTGCTCGGACCTGCCACCGGACTGTAGTTCCTCTGGCTGTGGGGCGGCCGAGGCTCAGGGCTCGTGGGGGAGGAGCTCTGAGGAATACTCGCGGACACGGCGGCAACGACCGCTTGGGCAGAGGGCTGCTGCATCATGAAAGGCTTCTCATCCGGGCAGGGGACCACGTCGGGGGAGGCGGGGTTTTGGTTCTCCGGTGGTAAACTGGACAACTGTCCTGCCAGAGTCGAGAGCTGATTTAAAGGGTTGTCAACCATGAGTTCTTGTGGGTCCCTTGGCAGGCCACCCGTTGGTGCGGTTTTTGCCATACTTTCATACGAGTCGGTCTGGATATTTGGGATTTCATGGGTAAAGTCGTTAAGGTAGTCTGGCTTCTGAACCACCATGGAAGGTGGACTTAAGTTGATCAGTGCTCTTCTGCTATAGCCCAGATTGCTTGTTTTCTTCTGTAAAACTCCCCACATTTTCTTGCTGCTTAAGGAAGACCTAGTGCCTTTAATTGGTACCATTTTATGCTTGCGCCTTCGATGATGGGACAGGTTACTTCGATCACTGCAGCGGAAGGAACATAATTCACATTTGTATGGTTTTTCTCCTGTATGGGAACGCATGTGGGCTTCCAGATGGCGCTCGTAAGCAGATGCGAATGGACATAAGTGACACCTATGAGGTTTCTCACCTGTTTAAAAAGAAAAATGGGGGAGAAACTGCAAAGGTAGCTCATTTGTGGAGAGTTTCATGTTTTGTCCGTTCATTAGATTTAGAAATTGTTCACGTTTCTTTGCAAAGAAACCTGTACACTTAAATAAAGCTTAAGGACTCTTCAGCCACAATTGGAGACATAGAGATCCATTCTCTTAGTCAATATCATGTAAAAGTTGTTATGGCTTCAGCTGGCATTTTGGGAAAGAGCAAAACTGACAGTACCCTGTGTAACAGTGACTTTACCAAAAGTATGCCTCAGTTATATGTTTACGTACACACCTATACACGAGCACTTCTCCATACATATTCATACACACACACACACACATACCCCTTCCTCAGAAAAAAAATACAAAAAGCCTTTCTAAAAAGTCCTTCTATTAAATAGAAAGCTCAAAATGGAAATGAGTTTCCTAGTCCAAGTATGAGTTATGCCAAGTGTCCCTTCAAAATGGCCAGTGCTTTACCTCTACCTTCCTCCTCCTCCTCTTCAGCTGCCAGAGGGGACAATTTGAGTTAGTGCCCTTAGCTGGAAATAGTGTAAAGTAAGTATCTGGAATATGAGATTTGGAGTCATTAATTTAACAAACTAAGTACTGAGTACTTACTATGTGTCAGCTGCTCTTTTAGGCTCTGTGGGCACCAAGAGGGCCCTGCCACAAACCCTGTCCTCAGAAGGGGTCTAGGTCAGCACCACATAGCATGAGAAACCACAGGCACACAGCTGGGACACGTGACCAGGGCTTGCCCAGGGCAGGCACAGCTAGGAGGGTTTCTCAGGAAGTGGGGTGGCTACAGCAAGCCCTGCAGATTAACAATGTAGTCTGTGACTGTATAAATGCCTTGTCCCTGGTCGGCAACTGAAACATACTAAGGATGAAGATAAAAACATTTTATCACTTCACATACCATCAGCATTAACCTGCCCAGCCTGAGAAGCAGATAAATGTTGAGAGATTACTTGGAACACGAAGAAAGATGGCTAAGGAAGGGGAAGCTCTAGAAGGGGCCTTACTTCCTCTCATTATGCTATTGTTTTGAAAAAATAGAGTAACTTCTCCATTTATCCATACCTTGTTATCAGCCATCAATGTTAAACTATTAGAACTATTTATAGGACGCATCAACCTGCCTTCCTTGGCCCCTCTCCCACCCCCAAACAAACGCCTTCTCCAGCTGTTTCTCCGTTACCTGTGTGGATTCTAATGTGTTCAATAAGCCGGGCTGTTCCTTTGCTGGCATAGTTGCAGTACCGACACTTGAGCTTCCCATCAAAGGTCCTTTCAAACCCGTCTACTAACATTCCTGAGTTTTCATCCAGAGAAACTTCAACAGATGGGTGATCGAGTCCATTTTGATCACCATCTGTTCCAGCTATAAACAAAGTATAGCAGAAGAAATTATGCATCTCAGAATCAACTCAATTTAGCATTTTGGTTTTGAGTGGTAAAAAAATCATAAATTGATAGTTAATTTAGCACAAAAGCTAAACTCGTAAGCTACAGACTTTCACTTTCTGAACTGTGGTTAATTTCACACAAAAGTAGTATCCTGTTTTTGAGAACCTTTTATAGGGGGATCTCAAATTACTTACACATACATTTTATCAGTCCTCCACATGCTTCTGAAGAAGAGAGCTGGGTATTATCCTAATGTGACAGGTGAGGAGACAGAGGGGAGTAAGGAGTAATGGCAAAGTTACACACGTTTAAGATTCTAGCCACTTCTACAAATATTATAACTGGCAGTCACGGTAATCTCCCCAATCCTAACTCTATTTACTGTAGTCTAAAGCAATTAATGTTGAGTTTTGCACTGTTCCACTTGGTTTATGCACATGTTCTAGAGGCTGGGATGCATTTAGGATCTTAACATTCTAAATAAGCGCATAAAGGAAGCTAGTCTATCTGATACCTCTGAATGTTAGAACTGCAAGAATTTGAAAGCTAAAAGGTATCGGTCTGGCCCTTTGTTTTTAATGTGATCCGACTACTTCTTTGTATCTATACAGAAACTGAAGGGGCAAGTGCTCCTAATCAGGAAGACCAGAAAGCAGTGGGGACTACAAGCCTTTTCTCTTGGATCCCAGTCCAGGAACCTATAAACTCAAGTGTCAGAAGGGACATTTTTGGTGCTGCAACTTCATGGGCAAAGCACTTCTACTGCATCCCCAGGAAATAGCAGTACTATTTGTGTGAACACGTCAAGCCTCCTCTTCCACTGTTTCCTCCCTGCTTCACCAGGAGAAAAGTGATCTTGCTGGTCGGTGAAAACCCAATATCCAACAGTGCCACGGCATGGGAGGGACAAGGCTGTGTCCCCCTCTCTGATTTCTCTCTCGAGCCGGTGACTCCAAAGATTTAATGTGCATGTGTATGAATCACATGAGGAGCTTTTTAAAATACAGACTGATTCAGTAGATCTGCACTGGGAACTGACATTTTACACTTCTGACAAGCTCCCAGATGATGCCTGGCCACTGCTGTTGGCCCCTAGACTACAGGCCACAGACCATCTTCATCAGGGGTCAGCAAACCTCCCATAAGGATCAGAGAGTAAATACTTTGTGGCTTTATGGGCCACATGTTCTCTATCACAACTACTCAACTCTGCTGTTATAGCACAAAAACAGCTATAGAAAACATGTAAATAAGCAAATATAGCTCTGTTTCGATCAAATGTTACTTACGGATGCTGATGTCTGAATTTCATATAATTTGCACATTAGAGTATTGTTTTGGTTCCCCCCCCCCCCCACCATTTTAAAATCTAGAAATCTCTCTTAGTTTGCAGGTCATATAAAAACAGTTAGCAGTCCAGGTGGGGTCCGTGAGCTGTGGTTTGTTGACACCTGAGCTACGTTCAGAAATAAATTCCAGTGTGTTTGGTAAGCAAACAAGATAAAGTCTGTCTGTAACAGGCCCAAATGGGTTGCTTTCTCTATTCCAGTTTGCTATCTAAATGGGTAAACAGGTCAGCGCTTTCTTCATTTTAAGAGAGAAAAAACAGAAACCCCCATCATGTCTCTGGTCTAATCCAGATTTCCTAATGGCCAAATCCTTTGTGTAGTGAAGCTGATGTTCGACCCCCTTGGGTTCCTTGTGTCGACAGTTAGCTACTAGAACTTATAAGATGGGAAAGATATTTGGAACTCCTAACCTTCCAATGAGACCATAATGCCTCTCTAGACCATGTTAGGCCCTTGGGGAAGCCTCATTCTCCCTCAACAAAAATCTGACATGTGTAAAGAGGAAAACAAACTGTACTGTATGTTTCTAAGTAAAGATGGAATGATTCATTTTAGTTAATAGTGGTCTTCATCATATGCATAGCTATATACAAACATTAACGTATTTATGAAAAGTGAATTAATTAATAGTATTAAGATGAGTCTACCTCCCTGAAGAGCCTCTGCTTCTTTATCCCCACTAACTGATCCAGAAATCATATTCACATGATGAGTCTGTTGAGTCAGATATTCCTGGAAATCTTTCACGAAGTCCAAAGGCTCTGGTTTCTTTTCACCCATCTTTACTTTTTTCCTTTTTCTTTCTTTCTTTTTTTATTTATTTTTATTTTTTTGAAGTTTACAGTTCGTTATGCCTAGGGGGAAAAAAAGTGAAATAATTTCACACTATTTAGTGAGATCCAATATGTATTAAAACAACAGTGACAAAGATTACTATGTTCAAGGAACTAAACAAAGCTACAAAGAACACAGTACCTGCCTTTCAATATCTTACTATTTTCTTGGTGAACTAGATAAGACATACAGAAAATGTTGAATATTTAATATATTTAATATTTAAATAAACTAGGATTCAAACTTAGTCTTAAAGGATGGAATGAAATTACAAAGACAGAAAATAAGAGAAAATAAGTCCAGATGAAAGAAACAGGCACATCAGCAGGATTATCAATGGAGACAGTAAAAAAAACCAAGTGGCTCAATCAGGGCCAGAGAGAATTTTCTGGATGATGGACATATTACATATCTGCATTGCCCAATACAGTTGCTACCAGCCACACACAGCGATGAGTACTTAAAGTGTGGTGAATACAAATGACCTGAGTTTTTAATTTTATTTAATTTAAACTGAAATAGCTACATATGGCTAGTGACTATCATTTTGGACAGTAAAGGCTCTCAAATCATAGGGTTCACATGGATGAATACTCTAGAAATAAAGGTGATCTAGAACAAGGGGTGGTAAACCTTTTCCATAAAAAGGCAAGACAGTAAGTATTTTAGGCTTTGTAGGTCATAAGGTTTCTGTCGCAACTACTTAACTGTCGTCATAGCTGAAAGCGGCCATAAAAAACGTGAATAAATTGAGTATGGCTGTGTTCCAAAATAAAGCTTTATAGAGGCAGGCCTTAAGCCAGGTTTGGCCTACATGCCATAATTTCCCTGACCGCTGCCCTAGAAATCCAAATCACCACCTCTGCCGCTACCCATCATGCTATGAGAATGGAGGGAAAAAATTAAGAAAGAAAACAAAAAATCTGATGCTCACGTAAAGTATCATATAAGATTTTGTAACCACAAACTAAACCGATCCTCACATAGGTATAATTATGGCCCAAATTCAGAAATCAAATAATGAAAAAGTTTTCTAGTAAAAACAAGATAAGGAAGTCTAGCACCTAGGAGACAAAAGTCTTTTCTTCCAGTAAAAATATTTTTATGCAAATGTCTATGGTCTTGTTAAATATATCTTCTGCTAAATTTTTTTCCTCATTAAATATTCCAACTATTTAATGAGTTATTTCTATCTAAAAACACTCATCTTTGAAAGCCAGATGATTCATTCAGTAGAATCAATCTAAAGATTAGTCACTTCTCAATATGTACGTTTAACATTTTCTCAAAGCCCGGCATACACACAGAAGAGCACATAAATCCTAAGGGTAGAGCTCAATGAATTGTCATACGCTGAATGCATCCATGAAGTCAGCATCCACATGGAGAAACAGAAGGCCACCCACATCCTGGTAGCACCCCGGCACACCTTCCTGTGCTGGTCCCTGAGTCCCAGCAAGGACCCTGCGACCTCTGAAATTGCTATGGCACAGGGTTTGCATATATCAGCTTTAGATAGTGCAAAATGGTTTTTCAAAGTGCTTAAACCAGTTTACACTCTCACCAGCAGTGAACAAGAGCTCTCTTGCTCTACATCCCTGCCAACACACAGGTATTTATTGCTTGTTTCATTGTAGCCATTCCAGCGCATATATGGTGGTATCACACTGGTTTTAATTTCTATCCCTTGATGATTAATGAAGTTGTGTACTTTTTATGTTAATTAGCCATGAAGACATCCTCTATTTTCATACCCAGTGATAGCTTTCAAGTCTTTTGCTTATTTTTCTAATAGGTAAGAGTTCTTTGTAATATTCTGGATATGAGCTCTTTATTGGATATGTGGATTTCAAGCGTCTTCTCTCACTCTGTTTGCCTTTTCACTTTCCTAAAGATAACCTCATGAACACAAGTTCTTAATACAGTCCAACTTCCCCATTTCTTTCCTTCACATTTAGAGTTGTGTCCTTACCAATATCTTACTTGAGGATGTTCTTCTGTAGTTTCTTCTAAAAACTTTACTAGTTTTTTTTTTTTTTTACCTTTCATATTTCATCTGGAATTTGTGTATGTATAGTGTGAGGTGAAGAGTCAAAATATACTTTTTTCCCCAAAGAGATGTCCTAGCAACATGCATTTCATAGACTAGCCTTTCTCCACTAGATTCTATTATCACCTTTCTAAATCAGGTGATTATATATATATGTGGCTCTATTTCTGGATTCTCTATTCTGTTTCACTGGTCTATTTTTGTCTATGCTCACACACAACGTGGTCTTTTTTTTTTTTTTAACAATTTAATTTTTATTTTATTTTGAAAGTTAGTGATGCGTGGGCAGAGTCTACACATACATATTTGCATTTGGCTGATGAAAAGAAAAGTTTCAAGAAAGTGCACAAGAAATAAAGGGCGCCAAGCACAGATGGCAACCACATTAAGAACTAAACAAACAAACCTACTCCAGTGTGATTCAAACTGCAGTGGTGGACGGGACCGTCAAATCCACAGAATCTTAAGAGCTGGAAGAAAGTTTAGAAATCGAGTCCTCCCCCTCCTCCTTCATGATATAATCCCCCCTCTATGATCTTATGACCAGCTAGATCCTCTTCATTACATCCCTAGTCAGCAATTCTCTTCTCCCCCCTATAGCTAACATGTCTGCTGAACTCAGTCATCCCTTAAATGGCATGATAATTTTTTTTAGATTCCTTCTGAATTTTTTCTAGGAGGTGTCACAAATTATGATATCCGCTCCTGCATTAAATATCAGAGAATCTTCTAAGGATGGAAGGAGCAGGGGGCATGTAAACAACCTCCTTTGACTGCTATTTAGATGTTTCAAAGAGCTAAATATTTCAAAAGTTATTTCAACCAAATGGAGATTTACACAATACATGTATGTCTCCAGTTTTTTTTTAACTAAATGGGATTTTTAGTAGATATTCTGATAGTTTTACTATATTAGGTATTTATACACACACACACACACACACACATATTTTTAGTGATTCATCACTTACATATAACACCCAGCACTCATCCCAACAAGTGTCCTCCTTAATACCCCTTGCCCCTTTAGCCCATCCCCTCACCCAACACTCCTCCAACAACACTGTTCTCTGTATTTAAAAGTCTCTTAAGGTTTGTCTCTGTTTTTATATTGTTTTTGTGTCCTTTCCCTTATGTTCATCTATTTTGTATCTTAAATTTCATGAGTGAAATTTGTCTGAATATTTGTCTTACTTCACTTAGCATAATATACTCTAGTTCTATCCACGTTGTTGCAAATTGGAAGATTTCATTCTTTTTGATTGCTGAGTGAGATTCCATTGTATATATACCACATCTTCTTTATCCATTCAGTCGATGGACATATGGGCTCTTTCCATACTTTGGCTATTGTTGATAGTGCTGCTATAAACATTGGAGTGCATGTGCCCCTCTGAATCAGCACTCCTGTATCCTTTGGATAAACACCTAGTAGTGCAATTGCTGGGTCGTGGGGTAGATCTATTTTTAATTTTTTGAGGAACTCCATACTGTCTTTTGGAGTGGCTGCACCCATCTGCATTCCCACCAGCAGTGCAAAAGGGTTCCTCTTTCTCCACATCCTCACCAACATGTTGTTGCCTGAGTTAATTTTAGCCATTCTGACAGGTGTGAGGTGGTAACTCGCCGTGGTTTTGATTTTGATTTTCCCGATGAGTGATGTTGAGCATCTTTTCACGTGTCTGTTAGCCATCTGGATGTCTTCTTTGGAAAAGTGTCTATTTATGCCTTTTGTCCATTTCTTCATTGGATTATTTGTCTTTGGGGTGTTGAGTTTGGTTAGGTTCTTTATAGATTTTGGATACTAACCCTTCATCTGACATGTCATTTGCAAATATCTTCTCCCATTCCGTAGTTACTTTTGCTGTTTCCTTCACTGTGCAGAAGCTTTTTATCTTGATGAGGTCCCAATAGTTCATGTTTGCTTTTGTTTCCCCTGCCTCCAAAGACATGTTGAGTGAGTTGCTACAGCTGAGGTTGAAAAGGTTGTTGCCTGTTTTCTCCTGTAGGATTTTGATGGATTCCTGTCTTATGTTTAGGTCTTTCATCTATTTTGAGTTTATTTTTGTGTATGGTGTGAGATAGTGGTCCAGGTTCATTCTTCTGCATGTCGCTGTCCAGTTTTCCCAGCACCATTTGCTGAAGAGACTTTTTTTTCCATTGGATATTCTTTCCTGCTTTGTCAAAGACTAGTTGGCCATACATTTGTGGGTCCATTTCTAGGTTCTCTATTCTGTTCCAGTGATCTATGTGTCTGTCTTTGTGCCAGTACCATACTGTCTTGATAATTACAGCTTTGTAATACAGCCTGAAGTCCAGAATTGTGATGCCTCCAGCTTTGGTTTCCTTTTTCAGGACCGCTTTGGCTAACTGGAGTCTTTTCTGGTTCCATACAAATTTTAGGACTGTATGTTCTAACTCTGTGAAATGCGGGTGTTATTTCAATGGGGACTGCATTGAATATGTAGATTGCTTTGGGTTGTATCAACATTTTAACAATATTTGTTCTTCTGATACATGAGCATGGAATGTTTTTCCATTTCTTTGTGTCCTTTTCCATTTCTTTCATAAGCTTTCTATAGTTTTCAGCATATACATTTTTCACCTCTTTGGTTAGGTTTATCCCTAGGTATTTTATGGTTTTTGGTGAAATTGTAAATGAGACCGATTCCTTGGTTTCTTTCTGCTGCTCCATTATTGGTGTATAGAAATGCAACCGATTTCTACACATTGATTTTATATCTTGCGACATTGATTTTATATCTTGCGACATTGCTGAACTCATGAATCAGTTCCAGCAGGCTTTTGGTGAGTCTTTTGGGTTATCCACATAGAGTGTCATGCCATCTATGAAGAGTTAGTTTAACTTCTGCCTTGCCAATTTGTATGCCTTTTA